CTGGTTTATGGTAAAGAAAAAGGGACATGCGGTGGCTGTGACCTCACGACCTGCACTCCTGTGTCGAGAGCCACGCTGATACGTCGATTACATTGATTATTCGACGAAAATATTTGAACTGCTCTGTTTGTCTTTGATTACGCGAGGCCCTTACAAGCCATGGCCAGCACGAAGTGACTGATGGAGCCGGCACCTACTGGACATCTGGGGGAAAAAGAGCTTTATAGCTCATCGGATTCCTCCAGTATAAATAAATATTGTCACCCAGAATCGCCCACCATCTCCCAATGAGCGCGGCATGTGCGTAGACAGAAGCGAGACGTTTTTTTTCCCACACAAAAATCGAGCTGATAATTGGGAGAGTAATCGATGATTTAATTAATCGGATACCCCCAGGTTCCACTAACTCCTTCTGTCATTGTGATCAGGATGATAGGCCAGCAACTGATTGACAGCAAGTGCCTCCTCGACCATCTCAACGAACGGACGACCGAGCAGCGAGAACTCCTTACGAAGCCCTACTCAACGTTGAACGAGTCGAATTCAGAGCTCAAATGAGTTTTCGAGTGGTGCTCATCTCTGTTGGTAGCCCTGAGCCAAAATGTAGACATTCCGCCATGCTCACGCACGGCAGTTAACTGTCTCTGCAAAGGCAAACGCCAACAACATAAAATAAACGAGCATTTTTCTGGGTGAAGAGAGTATTCTTTTTTATTTATTACAGAATGTTATCTGAGAATCAGAATATTTATTTATACTAGAGGAATCAAGATGAGCTATTTCGCTCTTTTTCACAAATGTCTAGGAGGGGCATGGGGTCAGAACATTACAACAACAATACAAAAATCACGGCAGCAGTGCAAAGTATAGGAGAGGAAAACAAATCATTAAACAAAACTAATTATCTGCGTAGGATCGTGGATGCTGCCGTGATTATTATGGACTTGCAATCCATAAAAACATCGGTTCAATCTCCGGGCGCGGCAGTTGAAAGAACGGTGCAGCTATTTCATTGTTTTTCTCCGCCTTTGTCCAACCCAGCAGAATAAAATGTCGCACACCAGAGTTAGTCGTGTGGGTGGGTACTGTGCGGTGGGCCAAAGTGTGGGCTACTCCCACCTCGAAGACGTTTGGGCCAGTCTGGAAACGAGTAGGCCAAAATATCATCAGGCGGGGCTCTCTTATTTGAATGCCCTTCTGGCAGCAGTGGTGTGAGCAAGTAATTGCAGGGGTTTTACCTTTTACGATCGTGAGAGATGGGAGTGGCTGGGGGGAAGAGGCGATTCGTTCAGCAGTGGATTGACCATGGCTAATCAAATGAAGATATGAGGATCAGCTCTCTGCATTAAATCAAATGTCATTAAAAACTGAAATCCACAAGTCAATCTATCCAAAGCGCCGCTGCGTAGGTATACTGTATTCCTATATATTAAAACAGATGTGACCTCACAGTTTATCCACAAAAATCCATTTCAGACGGGAGTGATCTAGTAAAAACCACTCTCCTTCTTTGCCGATAGGAAAACATTCTAAATAACCATGCCCTCTGCACTCGCTTTTTCTCTCTGAAGACCCCTATCTCAACATTTACACTTTACATTATTTATATCTAGAAGAACACCAACTGGTACTTATCTAAAATGACTTCTGGTCAGCTTTAAAGAAGCTCAAATGTATAAAAAGAGAGAGAACATGGTGGCATTTGGAATATGTTTATAGTGAGAGTAGACGGAATACATTTTTTGTACACATTGTATAAATATGCCGTTGCCTATCCCAGTAGTAATGTTGTTTAATTCTTCATTATTAACAAACAAATTTTGGCCTTAAAATGACAGACGTTGATATAAATTAAACAAATGAAGGAGTGGTGTTGTTATATTGCCCTGATAACGCGGTTATATAATTACTGTGCATACATAACGCAGTGTCACAAGTATTGATGCATCCATTCATCATAATCGGCCATGATCAACCCTACTGGTGGGTAGGCGGACCGCTTTTAAGATCAAATGTAATGTTCGAGGTTACATTGGGATTACTTTCCATAGGGTAGATGCCCCGGAATAATCTGTAATCGGATACGGATTACTTTCAAGATTGCTTGTAACGTGCGTGGTTGCTTTGGGATTTACTGTTAATAAGTGAATCCTTTGGGGAGACGTGTGGCTTCATATAAGCGAGGACTTCTGCTGCTCCATAGAAGCCCATCACTCCTACTGCTTCATAGAAGCCCATCACTTCTGCTGCTCCATAGAAGCGCCTCACTTCTGCTGCTTCATAGAAGTCTATCACTTCTGCTGCTTCATAGAAGCCCATCACTCCTACTGCTTCATAGAAGCCCATCACTTCTGCTGCTCCATAGAAGCGCCTCACTTCTGCTGCTTCATAGAAGTCTATCACTTCTGCTGCTTCATAGAAGCCCATCACTTCTGCTGCTTCATAGAAGCCCATCACTTCTGCTGCTCCATAGAAGCCCATCACTTCTGCTGCTCCATAGAAGCCCATCACTTCTGCTGCTTCATAGAAGCCCATCACTTCTGCTGCTTCATAGAAGCCCATCACTTCTGCTGCTCCATAGAAGCCCATCACTTCTACTGCTTCATAGAAGCCTATCACTTCTGCTGCTCCATAGGAGCCCATCGCTTCTGCTGCTTCATAGAAGCCCATCACTTCTGCTGCTCCATAGAAGGCCATCACTTCTGCTGCTCCATAGGAGCCCATCGCTTCTGCTGCTCCATAGAAGCCCATCACTTCTGCTGCTCCATAGAAGCCCATCACTTCTGCTGCTTCATAGGAGCCCATCGCTTCTGCTGCTTCATAGAAGCCCATCACTTCTGCTGCTCCATAGAAGGCCATCACTTCTGCTGCTCCATAGGAGCCCATCGCTTCTGCTGCTCCATAGAAGCCCATCACTTCTGCTGCTTCATAGAAGCCCATCACTTCTGCTGCTTCATAGAAGCCCATCACTTCTGCTGCTCCATAGAAGCCCATCACTTCTGCTGCTCCATAGGAGCGAAGACTTATGCTGCTTCATAGAAGCGAAGACTTCTGCTGATCCATAGGAGCCCAGCACTTGTGCTGCGTTCACAGCCGCAATAACAGCGCAGCGCTGTGTGACCGACAGTAACCCCACATCTTGGCCGACAGTAACCCCCCTCCATCAACCCAGAAGCACGGCAGTGACAGCGCCACCTCGTGGCCACACAACGCAAACTACAACAACAACAACGCTGAGCAACAACAAAGACAAATAACCCCCGTATAGCCTTAACAGACTGTCGGGGCAAGTGCTGTTAGCGAACACCTATGAAGGCCGGCACGGCACACGAGGGGGTGGGTGACCAGCACCACGCTCGGCCGCCTTTGTCTCCCCAGTGGCGATGTTTACACACCGCACCAGGTACTCATTTGAGGCTGAGTCGACCTAGAGGAGGCTCAGTACCGGTTCAGATAATCGCTATAGCTGGTGTTGACCGTGAGCCGGAATCGAACTGGGATGGCCGGGTTCGTAGCGCGCTAACCATTGCGCCACCGCTCGTACACACGCAGTTCTAAAAAAGAGGCATCGGTGATATTCACCAGAAATTATCTCACGGTTATAACCTAACCTCCGTGTTGTAACAATGTGCGCAAGAAGTAAAATTGGTATAGATATTGTATCGCGCCGTAGCATAGTGTGTTGTATGTATCCTTCCCCTGTTTACTACCCAGCATTGGGGAAACTGCAGATTATAAATGGGCTCTCGTCTGCTTAAAAGTAGGACATCCGTGGGAGCGTATACAATATCTATTATTAGAATATCTAATAAGGTATGAAAAATGTTTACTGCACCATGGAAATGGATTACCGATCGTTAATATGATCTTGTGCATACATTATCATGACTTTAGAAAGAACAAAATCTGCAATTCAATTTTAAGAGGCGTTTTGATGTTTCATGATGTAACTGATTCATCCAGAGCTATGCCGTCATGCACTGTAGCATGCTAAGGATGGCCAGTGACTGACGATGTTTACTAAGAAATGTCATGTCAATTCAGCCAGGCGGAATAAAGTCATGATGGTGGTGTTGTTGAAGAAGATGATGATATACATCATCATCATCATCATCGTTAAAACTGAGACCACCTTCAAATGGACGTTTTGTGATCCAGGATTTGTAGCAACGATAATCGTACAATAGATTCTCCCAAGGGCGATAACACCTCCAACTCTGCCAACGCTCACAGAAGCCACACTCCTCAACAATTTAACAGGCCTAATTAGTAGAGACGAGTTAACGTTCCAACAATTTGGCCCTTCGCGATATTAATATGTACATCCCGTGAATGAGTTTCATCTCGTCAGCAAAGCACCCGAGGTGTAAGAACGTTAACGATGCCAAGAACCAACTTGTACCAGCTCGTGGTTGCATTTGGGACCCAGAAATTAATTCTGCGCGATGTGTGGGCTGTAGACAACACAGTGGGACGTAACGTGTTCAACACTTTAACTTTAAAGTGCTTGACGATTGCTCAATGATCTGTTTTCCCCTGCCCGAGGAATTATAATGTGCAATACACTGTACTGCATTGAAGCTACAGTCCTTCAAACGCAGTTAACAAGGCAACGCATCAAATATAATTGTAATGCAACTATGTTTATCAAACACAGCACATTTTTTTCAGAAATATCGTCAGTGGATTTATTCTGCGCTTTCCCGAAATTAACTCAATTCTGAAAACGGGTTGTCAGCTAGGCTTCGTAAGGAAGAACTTATCCAACCATAACACGATACTAACTACGCATACACAACACACACCCGTATCATACTGCAGTACGACTGTTAGCGTGACATCATCTCTAAAATAACCATCGTCTCTATAACCTCAATAATCATCATCATAACCATCATCTCCACCGCAATGACGTGAGAAAACCGGCGACAACTTCACAATAACCAACATCATCACAAAAGTGTCAGCAAAGCGTCAAGCGGCGACTTCGCGCATCTCACCGTGACGTGAGACTGGCGGGCAGACGTGGAGCAGAGATGTGAAACGGAACGATCCTCGCTGCCGCTGCTGCCGCTGTTGCTCCAGAGGAGGAGGAGGAGCAGCGCTTGGCTCTGCGTGGGCCGCCTGTGCGTGCCTGAGTGAGTGCGTGTCAACGCGAGACTCTGTGTGTATGTGTGCTGCGTACACGCGCGCACACGTGCGCTCCCGGCTTGGCCGGTGGCAGGAAATGACGGCTTTGAACCGAGCATCAACCCCAACACGAGATCCCAAAACAACTCATCCCTCCCCCACGACTTTTCTTCCAGCCGTAATTTCGCGCACGAAATTCACACTCGTCCCGCACCACGGCCACCGCACCGTCCGCGACGCTGAGCTCTGCTCCGTGCTTGGAACCGGGCCGGGCGCGGTGGGAATTGGACTGCTCTGGTGGCGGCAGCGGGATGCACAAATCGGACGCACATTGTGCAAGCCCTCCTCTCGTAGCGTCGTGGGGGCCTGGAGTGGGGGGGGGGAATGAGCCTCCTGCTCCCCGCTGAAGACTCCGGACTCCCAGTTCTAAATCCTTAAAGTAACAAAAAACACTGGGAGAGTAGAATGGACAAAATTCTATAAAAATACACATACAGTAAAATACCTCGGTTTACGTAGGGGATGCGTTCCTGGAAATGTACGACGAATATCGTAAGGACGTAAATAAAAGCGATTTTTTTCTTCCAAATCATCAAAATGACCGAACGTAAATAATAAACTGTACGGTAAAGTCAATTTCTTGACGCGCGACTCAAAGCAATTCGTGTACAAGGGAGTTGGAGGCGAAGGCTGAGAGGCGACGGATAATGAGAACGGACGGACGACGCTGTCAGCGACGTAAGCGCGGGGTCGACGCAAGCCGAGTAGCAGCGGTGTCACTGATCGTGACGGCGTGTTGGCGAAACGATGCACAATGGGGGAGCGGTGAATCGGGGTGTTTACTGCGTTGCAATTAAGCGATGGGCCACGCAACCTTTGGTTATGCGCACACAGGGGATGAGAGCTGGAGCAGAAGGCAGGATGGACACGCAGATCGCATAATCGTTGCTCATTCCGTCGAGCGTTCAACATTTGTTTGACGTATGAACACTGATCGCCGTGTCACCACTTCTTCGTGTGCCGTCCTCCCAACCTCCTCTAAACAAGAAGACGCCACGAGGGGGGGGGGGGGGGCAAAGGACAGCCCCATCCCATGAGACACGGACATTGGTAGGAGCTAAGTACTTCAAACTAGTTTAGACATGAACATGCCACTGCTGGGCATGAGACTACGCCTGCATCTGATTCCACTCTTTACAGTCTCTGCTTGCCACCACCTCCATCCAGTGTCCCCCCCCCCCCCCCCCAGCAACATCCCACAGTCTGATTCAAATCGGGGTTTCAGCCACCCGTGCTTTAACCGGATTTTCAAGTGTAAGGCAATGGTCTAAGTCTATTCAGTAATGACCGGTCACAAAAAAAATCCCCCAATATATAATACAAATGGTTGTGGCTGAATTCCATTTGTGAGAATTTGGGGAATTATTATCATAGTAAGAGTGTGTCAGAGAAGAGGGTCCCCCCTCTACTGTATAAATGACGAGCTTTACTACCCCGGCTTCGCCCGGGACTTAATTCACCACGCCCGGCCGCCTTTGTCTCCCCAGTGGCAATGTTCACACACCACACCAGTTAATTGTTTGAGGATGAGTGGACCTAGGGGAGGCCCAGGACCGGTTCAAATAATCGTCAGCGGTGGTGGCCGTTAGCGGGAATCGAACTCGTGTCGCCGGGTTCGTAGCGCAGCGCACTACCCGCTACACTACAATGCGTGACGCTTCCACATGCGCGGGTCACGTGGCAGATGTGACGTCACAGCTCACTTGCTGTGCAAAAAATAAATGCATTATTGAGCTCCCTCCCCCCAAAAAAAACACAAAAGTGTATTTTTATAATGTTTGCATGGTGTGCAGTCTGGAAAGTACCCACATGGCAAATGTCCAGTTTGTTGCATGTCGGGAAGTAAACTAAACATTTTGAACAGACACACATTCACAACTTTGCCTTTGATATATATGGAGATAAACATGTCACTTGAAAGATTCTTTCTTTCTCTCCAGAATCCCTGTGAAGAATCTCTGCTGCAGCCGTTCTCTGAGACGTGCGGTGCACTGGTCTGCTAGAATCATCGCATCACCCGCCGTGCGCCTTGGACAAGCTTACAATCAGCGGGCGATATAGATAGCGCCTTCAGGAACAGCATGAGCAGCAGTAGCAGCCAGGGTGCCAAGTGTGTGGATGAACGCTCTTCCCCAGAACATTCGCGCCTCTCTGTCTCGAGTCTCATTATTGTCCCGTGTTAAGAAATGTTTGCATTGCTTACATAAACGTCTGTGTGGATGTCATGCCTTTTATTTAGTTTTTCAGTTTTATTTCTTAAGGGGTTCATCTGATAACGGCTTTAGTGTTATTTAAGGGTTTGTTATGGATTGGGTTATTTTATGTAAGTCCTTGTGTAAATAGTTCCGTATAAAATAGAGTTTTAGTTATTTAGATGTTTTACTTGATTCTTCAGCTCATGACACGATGTCAAGTACACAATTTGAATAGATTGCAAAAAAGACGAAATAAAAGCCACGCAATTCTCACCATAACGGTAAAAATATACATCAAACCACGTGTTTGATAAACCGTTAAAGCAACGTATGATTGACGTAACAATCATCTTACCTTTGGTAAAATGCTAAACAGACGCGAGTTAAAGAGTAACAGGCCACTTTGATGCACGTTTATATAACTTTAAAGATTAAGCAACATTCAGCCTAGATGCATTCGATCCATATTAAGTTGGCATATCCTGTGGACAAATATGTGTCAAACTGGACCAACGATACAAGTAAACTACTACTGGGCAGAATTATTATCAATTTTGAATACGCAACAAATTTGATAAATTGTTGGCGAGACCACTGCTTCTGGCTATATCAAACAGAAAGGCAGTTAAATTGGCAGAAGTACCTGCGATACGGCTGTATTCCACCAACCAAATTATAAACTTTTTTTATTTTACTACGTAATGCCCACTCAGCTCTTATTCAGAAGCGACCTGGCCACAAATTATAGCGCAACGAAGTGGCTTACCACGTGGAAATGTAAAGCAGCCAAATACTCTAAATGCATGTTGATTCTAAAATGTGGAAGGAAAAAAAACCAGAGTACCCGTAAAAAAAAAAATCCACGCGACCATGGGGAGAACATAGCGGTGAAAGCTGGCAACACGTGGATTCGGCCATAGAGGTGTCAGTTTGATTCGAGTTTGGACGGTGGGGCAACATAAAAGAGTAAAAATAATATCTTGTGATCACCCGATGCGATACGATGCTCCGAGAAGCCACGTGCAGGGATGAACAATCATCGACTGGATGACCGACAACAGAAAAACCGACCGTGTGCCATCCTCCGCGAGGATTGAATGTCTCGAGCTTGCATCAGCTGTTTGATTTGACCGTAAGAGATAGCCTCCTGGCAAGCTTAGAGAGCACCGCTGCATGAACACACGTGGTGGGTAGTTTTTTGGCTGACTCAATGAGTCCAGGGTACAGCGCCTGCTGATATGAGATCCTGCCACGTTGAATTCAACAAGCTCGGCACTGATTTCTTCACCGTCTCTCTCATCTGCCTGTTTTATGTCCCATGCTGTAAAACAATATACACCTTAGATTTATCTAGGCAGTCGAGTTATGTGATTACTTTTACAACTCACCACATCATATTCTATTTTACTATTCAGGTTTTTATTTGTTGGTTCATGGCATAGGTGGTTAAGTTCAGGATAAGAATTTGCTGAATTGCTGGAGCTGTCGGTATTGCAAATAAAGTTCTCCCCATTAAAATACGTTTTCCAGAAACGCGAGCCTCCGATAAGCCACACTGGAGTCTAAACGTATTAATATACAATACCGTAATGTGTTTCAAATGTGCAGTGCTGCTCCAATGACAAACTACTACAGTGTGTAAGGAATTTCTGTTGTTGTGCGGTGATTCATGCACAGAGACTTGAGTTAAATTCGAGCCATGGTGAACACACCAGTGGCGAGTGATGAGCCCCTTCACCGAGCCCTGGGTCCACCGTGAGACTAGTCCTCGACATATAGGCTGGCTTGTGGACATTTTCTCAGGGTCTCATCCTGCTCCTTTGCCTTGGGGGTTTTCGTCTCGGTCCCAGAATTTGGATAGGGCCATGGGTCGGCAACTGAAATAGCAAGGCGAGATATATTTTTTCGAATTCGTACAAGAAACTCAATATTTCAAGAGCCGCAATGTCACGTGAATACGAGACGGTGGCTCTTAATAAATAACGTAACGAAGTAGCAGTCGCATGCGGCTCCAGATCCGCAGGTTGCTGACCCCTGGCTTAGACGATCCAGCCCTGACTGGCCTAGCCACTGGCCTCAGCTTAGACGATCCAGCCTTGACTGGCCTAGCCACTGGCCTCAGCTTAGACGATCCAGCCTTGACTGGCCTAGCCACTGGCCTCAGCTTAGACGATCCAGCCTTGACTGGCCTAGCCACTGACCTCAGCTTAGATGATCCAGCCTTGACTGGCCTAGCCACTGACCTCAGCTTAGACGATCCAGCCTTGACTGGCCTAGACACTGACCTCAGCTTAGACGATCCAGCCTTGACTGGCCTAGACACTGACCTCAGCTTAGACGATCCAGCCCTGACTGGCCTAGACACTGACCTCAGCTTAGATGATCCAGCCTTGACTGGCCTAGCCACTGACCTCAGCTTAGACGATCCAGCCTTGACTGGCCTAGCCACTGACCTCAGCTTAGATGATACAGCCTAGACTGGCCAAGCCACTGACCTCAGCTTAGACGATCCAGCCCTGACTGGCCTAGACACTGACCTCAGCTTAGATGATCCAGCCTTGACTGGCCTAGCCACTGACCTCAGCTTAGATGATCCAGCCCTGGCTGGCCTAGACATTGACCTCAGCTTAGATGATCCAGCCCTGGCTGGCCTAGCCACTGACCTCAGCTTAGACGATCCAGCCTTGACTGGCCTAGCCACTGACCTCAGCTTAGATGATCCAGCCCTGGCTGGCCTAGACATTGACCTCAGCTTAGATGATCCAGCCCTGGCTGGCCTAGCCACTGACCTCAGCTTAGACGATCCAGCCTTAACTGGCCTAACCACTGACCTCAGCTTAGACGATCCAGCCCTGGCTGGCCTAGCCACTGACCTCAGCTTAGATGATCCAGCCCTGACTGGCCTAGCCACTGACCTCAGCTTAGATGATCCAGCCCTGACTGGCCTAGCCACTGACCTCAGCTTAGATGATCCAGCCCTGGCTGGCCTAGCCACTGACCTCAGC